TCCCAGTGGTTATTTTCAGCGTCTGTTACAGTGGCATGGTGGGAATACAAGCATGGTACTTGCAGTGTCAGCGGCCAAAAATAGCGAGTAGCCCTGCCCACCTTAGTACTAAAACTAACTAAAGCCACCCGCGACACCCATTTCGGTTTTTACTGTATGAAAACTCATCCCAGGCGAAAACCGTTTCTGCATCACATGATGCTACCATGTGGTGGTTGCTATCTTTCGCGTCGTGCTCTTCGCACCACGGCACTGGCGTAAGCGAGGCCCCAGCTGAAGGACAAGAGCAAGAAAGCAGGCTTGAAAGCCAACACACACACAAGCCGTCCGATGAGCTGAAACATACAACATTGGCGGACAGTGCGTGCGGCAACAACTACCCGGGGCAATCTCTTGCCAGTCTGCTTGCCGACCTGCAGTGCATCAGAGAATACCGAAAGTCCGCATCTGACAAAGGCGGTACGCCGTATTTTGAGCTTGAGTGTCTTGCGAAGGACGGACAATGGTATTGGATCGGTGAGTCTGATATTCAGAGGTCTGTCCCGTCTGCCGTCGGCACGTTCTGGGGCTGCGGGCCAGCGGAGTGGAGAGCGCCAGAGACTGGAGAAGGAGAAACGGGACGGGAAGTCTGGAAGCGACCGTTGGCGACGGATGGCGATGGTGTTCCGGATGCACATTTGATTATGGGCCGCAAGACTTCTCGGAGCGGCCAAACCAAGTATCTCATGCAAAAAGTTGGATATCCTACAGCCCAGTCGGCATGGCAGGATGGGGAAGCTGTGAAGGAGAAGTACACTCACGAGTATGAGAGATACCGGTTGAATCATACTGACTGCCCCGAGCTGACGGATGGAGAAGAGCGTCAACTTTCTGCAATCGTCGGCCATCGTCTGAACGGCGAGAAGGGTTCTCAAAAAGGAATTCAGTTCTCGTGCCAATGGTCAAATGACACCGAAACTTGGGAGGACGAGCACGAGGTGCAGAAGAGATACAACGCTGCTGTTCTGACATATTGGCACAGCGATCTAAAGGCTCGTCGCTCCTGCAAAGTCCCGGACCGGCGCCTACAGATTTTAGGACACAGGAAATTCCGCACTAAGCTGCTCCTGAAAGTTCAGATAGTGGGTAGATCCTCTTGCGATGGGTGTGCGGTATGTGGGAACCTCCCGTGTAGAAAGAGTTGTAATTGCACGCCGAACGTCCCATTAGAGCCGATCGAAAGACTGTTACTGAAGTGGCCAGAAGCGACGAAGAAGTACTTGGAAGATCAGGGTCTGACATCCTACAACACCAAGTTCAGGGTCAAACGGCGGTCAGAAAGACTACAATGCCGCAAAGAATAAGACTAGTGTGGCGTTCCGCCTCAAGCAGCATGACACGAAAGAAACACACTGAAGATATAGTAAATATTGGAGTCAAACTCAGTGACATTACAGCGTCATATCAAAAGCTTCTCAGCAATCATCCTGGCCAAAGGTCCAATTATCTGATCATGTGATGGTGCCAGTAGTCCCGAGAAGGTGTCTGCGTTGGCAAATCGTGTGAGCTCAATCACGTAAAAGCCTGGTGAGATTCCACAGTCGTATCGAGCGCCGATTTGCACGGTATCAAATCTGTCGCTCCTCAACTGGCGGATGTGAGAATCAGTATCCAATGTGAACTGCAAGAGCTCATCATGCTTTTGTTTCCTGGTACTTTTGTCGGGGGAATACCAGTTGAAGTCGCTGTAGTCGTTTGTCGAGTTGCTGTAGCGCCATTGGCTTGCCAGGTAGGTTTTCGTCGTCTTTCGTTCTAAAAGCGCATACCACCCAACCACTGCACAACCAGACCCTAAACTCCCCGGTTGTTCGAAACGTTGGAACGTACTGTACAGTATAGTACGTAAAACCTGATCTTTTATCATTATGTTAGAGGCGTCCAGAAATAGCCTGTTGGAGGCTGGTAGGCTGATACTTTTGGCTGTTACTCACCTGAAAAGACGGAAAAATGGTATGTAAGTACGTCAGCTTCCCACTGTGACTTTGGCAACGAAGCACCACTCCCCGCAATGACCGAATCCATTGAACCAAAGCTGCAAGGCAAGTCTCTGCCTACCAACAGTGCTGGGCTTTGGTCTAATAGGCCAATACAGTTCTACACCCGTACAAACTCCCATACAGAACAAGCAGAGGAGCTCCTAACCACATTCTTTCCGCCGCTTCCTGAGCATATCGAAGAGGAAGGCGAGCGCCCACAGCGGGCTGCTGTGCCTTTGCCGGATCTAACTTTGGAAGAAGTACAGCGTCAACTCATGGCGGCCAAATCTTGGAAAGCGCCGGGTGAACATGGGCTGTCGACGATGGTCTGGCAACAGGTCTGGCCGGTGGTCAAGCACCAGGTGATGGCGTTATTCCAGGCCTCTCTCGACGAGGGAATTTTGCCGCATCAGTGGCGACACGCCAAGATTGTACCACTCAAGAAAGGCGGCAAAGAAGACTACAGCGTCGCAGGATCCTGGCGACCGATATCGTTGCTGTGCACGCTAGGCAAGATATTAGAATCCGTCATTGCTGAAAGAATCTCCCATGCGGTGGAGACGTTTGGCCTGCTTCCGACCAACCACTTTGGAGGACGCAAGCAACAGTCGGCAGAACAGGCGCTACTGTTGCTGCAAGAACAAATTTGCGCGGCTTGGAAAGGAGGATGGGTGTTGAGTCTCGTCAGCTTTGATGTGAAAGGTGCATACAACGGCGTGTTCAAGGACTGACTGCTTCAAAGGATGCGGGTAAGAGGGATGCCAGAGAAAATTGTGAGATGGTGAAGCCTTTTGTTCTGATCGAACGGCATCGATTCAACTCAATGGACAAGACTCCGATGTGGAAGATCTGCCGCAAGCAGGCCTACCGCAGGGTTCCCCTTGTCTCCCGTCGCATACCTGTTCTTCAACGCGGACTTGGTTCAACGCCGAATTGATGCGAACGGAGGAGCAATCGCTTTCATTGATGACTTCACAGCCTGGG